TCTTCCAGTCTAGATTTAGAAACTGACTGATCAGATAGAGAGTATTTTGAAGATTTAGGAGGAATCCGAATTCTGAATATTCCAGGACCTTCTGGAATCTCGTCCAGGATAGCGCTAGATGTCTGAAAACTGGCTGATCAGTCAGGTAGTTTTTAAAAGCTTCTAAGAAATTCTGAAATTCGTGATTTTATGGCTGAGAAGCTCTCTGGTGTTCTCATAGATGAATCATTGAGCTAGGGATTCGGAAAGTACTGAGAATTCAACATTTTCGAATTTTTAGGATTTCCCGATTTTCGGGATTTCTAGAAATTACCATTTACCCTACACTTCTCGTTGTCTCCCGGTACATCTCCTGTCTATGCTCCTCCTTCCAATCTGTCTCCATCTGTCGTCGGCCTACTTTTGGCTATGGGTCGGGGTGCTCCTCCGTTTTTACATTTTGTGCTGTTAGTGTTGTCCCTTCTTGTGTCCCTCCCCCTTTTTCTCCCGTCCCACCGCCTCCCATCGAGACAAAACGAGCGGTGTGCATTGATTTTTGAGACGTGTCCCAGCTAGCGTCTTCTTCTTCTTCTTTGGACCCACGTGGCGTCAAGAAGCCACGCCTACTTTTTGTATGTTTTTTTTCGGTTCATTTTTTCAGCTTCCATTCCGCTAACCATATCATGGAGATAGAAAATCGGGTCAGACGCATTTCCTGCTGGGAGAGAATAACTGCTTGACCTTGTTTTTGTTGTTAACGACATTACCGCATTCCGGGACTGTTCGAATCCCACACTTTATTGGTTTTGACGGACTTATCAAAGTAATGAGCTTTTCCATTTTTTAGATTAATGATAGGTGATTTGGGATTCCATTTTGGGAACTACTGTCAATCAGAAATAATGTGTTTCAATGTATTTATGAGAAAGGAAGTTCAAGAAATCCTAGATTAGCTGATCAGTGATGCAGATCATCAGTGATCATGCCTTGAAGCTTATTACCTGAAACTCTCCGTCACTAGTAGCAGAGCTGATCATTGAAACATGAACCTATAAGCTTCATTGTCTCAGTTCCTATGAGAGATATCAAAAAGCAGTCAACTGACAGATTGTTTATCATAATGTCATAAACATTTTATCAGTTGGCAAATTTTTGATATCTTGCAAAGGAACTGAAAAAAATCAGCTCAAAGTTGACAGTAGGATGTTCCTTCTATTTCAGGTATTACGGTATGCTTTTTTCTCGATATGAGGTGATGCTCTCCCTACATCAGCTAGAATACACAATGTTCGAATATTGCGAAAATATAAAAAGTTTGGACTTTTTGAATTTTTGAATTCCTTAGACTACGACCGGAATATCCCGAAAATTTTAATCTTGACCTAGTCAGATGCCTTAGCAAGATCACTGATAACAAGCCGTGTTTGAGCGAAAACAAAAGCTCAAAATCATATCGCACTGTAGTAGTCAGAGTGGAAACCAGAATTTTCGATGTTTTTTTCCTTCTGAGGACGACCCAGAGTAACGAGCCTAGAATTTGGATTGTAGTGTTCTTAACCTCATATGTAGCAGCTTTCTTGGAACTTGGTTTATGTAGGGAGATTACCGAGTGGCCCTGGACTTTTTGGAATCACTCAGTTCAGAACGGTATGCTTGGCAGGCGGAGACATAATCACTGCCCTGATGATAATGTTCTTCGATTTTTTCGATTTTTCGCTGAGAACGATCTGCTCCGATTTTAGGAATACCAAGACCTTGGAAGTTTTAAAAATTGCTCGAGAAACCGCTGTTAGCCTTGTCAGTAGTCCCATAGAAACGAGTCGTCCCTAACGACCAAACAGATTCAGTTTCTTTGGGAGGAAACAGCTGTCATCAGTAGTACCTACTTTATATATTGAATCCCAGTTGGAGTCAGGTTCTCTCTCTCTCCCTCGGAGGGAATGGAATGAAGGAGAGAGAGAGTGAGTGTGTGTGCGTTTTGTGTGTTAGAGGGTGTGTGTGTGTGTGTGTGGCCGAGTGTCATTGTTCGAGTAGAATGAAGCGAAACAAGAAATAATCGATTGACTTATGTGTCCTCCTTCTTCTTCCTTCTCCACATACCCCGCCCCCTCTACTTCTTCCTCCCAAAAAGCCACCCCCAACTTACAGCACTTTTTTGGTGGATTTCCAGAAGAATTTCCAGAAGCTTCATCAGTGATGATTTATCACTAACCACCGTCAAACCTGTAATAGAAGGATCCCTCTAATTGAAGTGCACCCTAGAGATCCCATGAAAAATGGAAGGGTCGGCTCAAGGTCGGCAATCCTGCCAATACAGCTTTAACAGTATTTATCATGGTTTCAAATTTCTTTCACACACATTTCGTTTCACTTGTTTGTACAGAAAAGTTCGTGTTGGGTGCCAAACGGGCGGCCGGTACCAGGCCGCACCGGGCCGCACTAGTGGTCACTCTTCTTTTGAGGAAGAGAGAGAGAGAGAGGCGAGAGAGAAATTAGAGTGTTCTTCTGAAAAAGAAAGAAGAAGGAGAAGATTTTGGAACTTTTAGCAGAGTTTGGATCTTCCTGACGAGAGCTTCTAAAATGCCAGATTTTGGGAACAGTAGTTTTCCTAGCAAGAAAAGGACTCCAACGTGTAGGATTTTACAAAATATATTCAAAAATCCAGAAATTCGTAATTTCAGCGTCTAGTTCTATCCAAAAATCCAGACTATTTTGGTGCTTTTGTAGGAATTTAGGCACTTTTTCTAAAATCTGTAAAATTTCAAAATTTTCGAATAACGATCCTGTGAAATTCTGGGATTAAAATATCAGATTTTCGGCTCTTTAGAACTTTAGGCTTTTTGGCCGCCAATTTCGAAATTTAAAAAAATATTTTAAGAATCCGGAAGGTTCTAAAAGGGATTCACTCTAGTTCTAGGCATCCTCAATAATCAAATTTTCAAGATTGTTTAGAATTTTTGTCCGGGAAAAACCCTGTAATTTCAAATGTCTGCTTTCTAGAATTTTAGGCCTTTTGTCCGAATTTTCAAAAATTTCCGAATATTCAAAAATCCTAAAAATACTTTTTTTAATCACGGAAATTTGAATTTTTCGATTTTCGAGGTTTCGAATGATTGTCAAAAAGCTCAATCAAAAATCAAAATTTTCAATTTTCGCGATTTTCAGTCTTTTGCTCTTTTTTTAGCATTTTTTATATATTTCCCCAGTCTGATAAAGAGAGAGGAAAAGACCAAATAAACTGAAATTTTGAATTTTTCGGATCGAATCATAAAAATCGCCCAATAGGAAATCAGATTTTCTCTCGAACTTTCACTTCTCTCCCCCTCTCTCTCTCTCTCCTGTTGTTCTTCTTCTCATTCTCCATCCTCATCTTCATCTTCTCCTCCACCGCTCTCTGCGTCCCTGACACAACTAGGAGCGTTTTGACTATTTCGGACCCCAATCCTGCCCATCGTCTTACTCTTTTTCTCTCTCTCTCTCTCTCTGACTCTCTTCATTTTCCGTTATCTCTCGCCTTCCAAGACGTCCTCTGTCTATGTCTCGTACTCTCTCATCACTTTCTTTTTTCTTCCCATTACGTTTATATTACCATCTGCATTGCACACACACACAACACAAAGCCATCACCGGTCTCCCTTTTTACCCGTAAATTTCATCCTTCTCTATCTCTGCGTGTGTGCCCTTTTTGCCCCTCCTAAGCCGTTCGGGTGGGTACTTGTCAAGTAGTGTATCCTGTGTTGATCGGAGGATAGAAAGATTTTCGTGGTGCCGATTATCAATTGTATATCTGTTATCACCTTGTATCTCAAAGGCGCAACACAACAAGTTTTGATGCATCAGGTCTTGTTGCGCCTTTGAATTTGAGACTAATTTTTTGGCGCCAAAAATTTTTTATTGAGAATTTTGAAATCTTTTGAGCTCGTTGAAGTTTTGATTTTTCTGTTGAATTTATTTTTTTTGCTGAAAGTCTTGATAGATACTTTTCAATTAAATTACCCTGAAAACAGGCTGAAAATGTTAGAATTTCTATTCTTAACATTTTGGCATAAACATTTTTAAAAGAAAACAATTTCTGAAAATTGGAAAAAATTTATTTTTTACTATTTATTGAAACAAAAAAATGTATTTTTTGGTTTTAAATTGTCTTAAAAATCACCTAAAAATTAGCATTAAAATTAGTTTTTTTTCGAAATTTTTTTAAAATGGTTTTTCTTGCTGAGAAAAAAAACAGTTATAAACATTTTTTCGAGAAAAATCTAATTTCTTTTTTGCTGGATATTCTCCAAATTTAGCACGAAAATTCCGAAAAATTTGCACATTTTCTCTAGAAATGAGAAGTTTCTCTCGATCTTTAGAGAGAATTTTCAGTTAAAAATTTGGGAAAATCTCGATTTTCAGCTCGATTTTTCTAAAAAAAATCCCATTTTCCCCTGACGAATTCCTCATAAAGATTCCCAAATTTTCCCGAATTTGCTTCATTCGAAGAGACGACTCTCAAACTCAATTTTGAAATTATACATTTTTCTCTGCGTCTCTTCCAATCTCATACTCTCTCATACCGGCTCCTAGTTTCTCTGCCCACTCTCTCACTCTCTCGTCGCTCCTTTTTCGCTCATTTCATTTTGAGTGAAAGAAGAAGAAGAAGAAGTGGTGATGATGTGACGTCACGGTCTTCTCCCACCGAACCGCCCTTCTTCGTTTTTGGGATATATTCAAATCTTTTGTCTCACCTCTCTGCGTCTCTCTTATCGTTCTTTACCTGCGTCTCTCGATCTCTCTGGCTTTAACTCATTTTTTCCGTTTTTCCAGAAAAAGAAGAAGAAGAACACACAAAGAAGAAAAAGTGAAAAAAGAAAGAAAGAGAAAAAAAATAGATAGAGAGACAGAGAGACAGAGAGAGTCTGTGCTGTTCTCAACCACAAGTCAATGCAAGTTTTCAAAAACGACGAGTGCCACTGCTGTTGCTGATATCTCGATTTTTGTCTACTAATCACCTGGAAAATTTGGTTTTCTCTTGAAAAATGGCACAGGTAGGAGTTTGACATTTTGAAAAACGAAAATTTTCCTAAAATCTGAAAATCTAATAAAAAATGGATTTCTAAGTCATTTAAAGTTAATTTACCTGAAACAATTTCTCTATGGCCGAGTTTTGGTTTTCTAGGCCGGTTTTTAAAATAAGAGAATGTTCAGAAAAATATAGGCTTAAAAGCATGATACATACTTCAGAAATTAATGACCGAATTTTGATTTTCTAGACCACCAAATATAAAAAATTTTAGCTATCCAAAAAACACCAAAAACGGTCCTAAAGGTTTTAAAGGTTCAACAAGTGCCTCCGTCACCACTCAACGGTCACTCGGAAAAGAATGGGAACGGAATGAGCATCGAGGAAGCTGCTACGTCATCATCCACCGCTTCTGGAGCCCTAACACATCTTCAAAACGGAGTGATGTTTCACACGACGCCTACAAAAGATTTGAATGGAGCGTCGACGTCGTTGATGGTTGAAGCCGACGATCTTCAGTTGTCACCTGGAGACTTGAGACGGAGGAGTACACGAGCGTCGGCGTTGAAAGCACAGGAAAAGATCAAATTGAAAGATGATATCGTACAGGGACCACTGAAACGGGTGAACGAGGAGAATGAGGATGGAGAAGGAGGAGAAGAGGGGGCTGGGGGAGGATCAGGAGAGAAAACAGAAGTAAAACCGAAGAAAAGAAGGTTAGAAAATGGTCAAGAATTCGATCAGACGTGTTTCCGATTTGGATTACGAGCCAACGACGACGGTGAAGTCTATGCGATGACTGACGAGAGCGAGAATTCATCGATTCATGAGTCGGAAATGGAAGTGGTACGACATCACTACGAGAAGATGAAGAATCGAGAACCAGATGCGGAGCAGTTGAAAGAACGGCTGAAAATGAGAAAAGAAGCTGAGCAACTGTTACGAGATGAGGAAGCCAAGCTGCATGTGTTGAAGAGGATGCGAGAGAGTCAATCCAGGGCGATTAATAAGGTGAGCTTGAAAAATTACCGGGTTTTGAAAGTCAAAATCACCAAAACCTGAAAATTACCTCGAAATGATTTTTTCGAGTTTTTTCAAAACAGTTTTTTGAGTGTTTCAAAGTTTTCAAACTTTCTGAATTTTCGGGAAAAGAATAAATGCAAAATTGGTCTATTCTTTCACTTTTCCCGGCATGTTTCTCTTTTCGACAAAAATCAATTTTTTGAAATTTTCTGAATTTTCGGCCTTCTCGAAGCATTCTAGATATTCAGATCAAAAGCTAATTCGTCGAATTTTCGGTTTCTAGGCTATGGTACTTGAAAATCTACAAATTCAGCAAATAATCGAACATTGGAATCGTTCTAAACGCAACTTTACCTATAGTTATTACCCCTACAAATCTAATTTTTTGGTTAAAAACGATGACGCAGATGCTCTTCTCGAAACTACCATAAAACTTGTATTAGATGGGCAGGTACCTTGAAACAAAACAACTTCAATCATTTTCCAGCTCGCCGCCGAAACGAAACAATTGGATATGGAAGAAGCGGCGAAGACAGCGGCTGCAGCTCATAAACCAGCACTAGCCCAGAAGCTATCAGCCAACGGAAAGAACATTGCTCAGCAGAATGCGAGTAAAACAATGGCGAGCCTTGCCAATTTGACAGTACAACAACAGCTGGATCTTCTCGGAAAACTGGCTGGACAAACGCCCGCAGCGAAACAAGCCTATCTACTGGCGAAAAAGAATCCAGCTCAGACGACGCAACTATTCGCGCAGCTGATATCAATGAACACGAAACAGATTCAACAACAAAAAGAAGCGGCAGAGCAGGCGGCAGCTTCATCGTCGACGTCATCTGTGAATCTACAACAACAACAATCGATTCCACAACAGCAACATGTACAAATCACTCAATCCCAAAAGATGACAAATAATCAACACACGCCCGCTCAACGAATCGCTGCCGCCCGTATTTCGTTCCGCGCTCAGGCTGATAAGTCGTTGATGAACATGGCGACGCCCAGAGCCCAACCTCATGATATCTGGTTTTTGCCAAATCCAAATGCATCGGCTTTCATGGCATTGAACGGGTTGGATCTGGTTGTTTCGGCTGTTTGTAAGGATCGCACTGCTGAGAAGTGAGTTTTTTTTTGATTTGGCGAGTTGTAGGCGTGGCCTCTTTTTTCAGCTAAAGTGGAAGATTTGAACTTCTAATTTTGAGAAAAAAATAATTGGAAATTTGAAAACGCCGGATTGTGGGCGTCGCCTAAAGCTTTGACTTTTTTTGTAACTCAAAAACGAAAACTCTACTAGAAATCACCTAATTATGATTTAGGAAGATGTGGGCGTGGCCTAAAATTTCTGAACATTTTTCTGCATTCCCCGAAGTTTGAAGGCTTGGAATTCAATTTTGTGGGCGTGGCCTATTTTTTCGAAAAAAAAATCATCCGAGATTTTGAGCGTAAAAGGGGCGGAGACTAACTTTTTGGAATGGGCGGGGCTTGTTTTTTGAACCTAACTGAGGATTTTTACTGTAAGCCATACCTAGACTCCGCCCCTTTCCCAAAAAGGAGGCGGAGACTATTTAGCCACGCCCATTTGACCCCTTTGATTTGCACCAAAAACTTATCGCTCAAAATTTCTAGGAAATACGCGGGACCAGCGTACGAATGCGAGGAGTGCAAAACGGATTGGGCTCACACGTGGAAGATGATGGGTTCCGGAGACGACGTTCATTTGTACTGCTCGGAATGTGTCAGTACTGCACAAAAGAAGAAGAATCGAATGGATCAGACGGCCCTTCTGAAGCGGGCATTCCAGAAGATTACACTTCAAGAAAAGGAATTCGAGAAGCGAATCGCCGAGGGACAACTGGAACAGATGGTCGAGGCGAAAGCGGCCGCCGTCTCGTCGTCTAATCATTCGACGCGTAAGTTTCTTTCTTATTAATGGAAGTGGAAACCCTAGGCCATCAGACCAACATTTTTGTTGCAGAACAAATTCCAACGTCATCCACAGCTACGGTATCATCAACACCACTTGGACCACGACTACCACAATCGGCATCTGGAACAAGCACGCCTACGCAGGCTATGAAGTCGTCGACACCGGTTCGGAATCCTCTGAATTCTCTTTTAAAATTTAAAATTCCATTTTCAGCTTTCATCTGCAGCGAAATCAAGCAGTTCGGCTGCGAAGAAGTCGATGACACCACAACAGCAAGCGGCGGCGATGATGAATCAGTTAATGCAGAATTCGATGAAGAATCCAATGATGCAGCAAATGGTATTGATTTGATTCGCTTTCTCTTACTAATATCTGAAATTCCAGATGCAGATGTATATGGCTCAGCAACTGAATGCGGTGACGGCTGGAGGACGAAATGTGGCTGGAAATAATGGGATGAATAATCAAATGGCACTAATCATGGCGCAAGCGCAGGCTCTTCAAGCACAAGCTCTTCAGGCTCAAGCTGCACAACAGGCTCAGGCCGCACAGCAGGCCGCTCAACGAGCCGAAGCAGCGGAACGAGCCAAAAAGGCACAACAAGAGCAGCAGGCGGCAGTGGCCCAGCAACATCAGACAGCCATGCTTTTGGGTGAGTTTTTATTCCTAGATTTTTTTTTTGAATTCCCGGATTTTTTCGGACTTCTTTTAGATTTTATCTAACTTCTATCTGAATTTTCTGGAGATTTCTAATTTTTGGAAAAAAATGTAATTTTTGAGAACATGATTTTTTTCTTTTTTCGGAAGACTTTTCAAAATTCTTGGAATTTTCAGACTTAAAAAATTTACTGAATGTTTTGATATTCTCGAAATTTTGTTATGCTGAAAGGAATCTCGAAATTTTGAAAATTATTGAAAAACGTGCTGAAAATAACCTTTGAAAAATGGAAAATATATTGTCCGAGAAATATTAAAAAATGGCTTAAATGGCCTAGAAAATCCGAAAAAGCTCTGCTATTCATAAATTGGCGATATTTGTAAAATAAGCTTCTTTTTTGCTAGAATTGGAAAAAATTCGAATTTTTCGGATTTTTTTCCATTTTCCGGAATTCCAAAAAAATAAATTTCCCAATTTTCTTGTGATAATTCAGTTTGCCAATTTTTTGGAGTTTAATTATTTTTCACTTTGCAGCCCTACTCGCTAATTCGAACGGAATGAATCCTCAAGCAGTTCAACAAATCAAAAACCTGACGCCCGCGCAGCAAAAGATGATAGTGGAAACGCTCAAGAATCAACAGAGAAAATGATAAACTTCCATTTTTCATGTTTCTTTTTTTGTCCTAAAATCTGTCCTCCTCCTCCCACCTACACAAAACTTGTTACCTAAATACAAATTCGGGTCTCGATTACTGTATGATGCTTGTGTCTTCTTTTCCCTCATTTTTTTCTTTTCTTTTGAAAATACGATTCCTCAAATTTCCCTCAAATCCCCCCTCGGCATCTCTCTTCTCTTCTCAAGTTGCAGCCTTCTTCTGGATTTTTGTCTTTTTTCATTTTTCATCCCAAAAACGGTCATTCGCTTTCTCTGTCTCACTCACGAAATGAGTCTCTCTTCATTTTGCAACACAAATCTTATTTCATAAAATATTTCTGTCAAAACAAAAACATCAGTCAATCACACACCACACCACACCCCATAACTTGTAACACACCACTCCTCCCCAAAATTAAACGGTTTTTCGATTTTTTTTGGCTCAAAAATTCAAATTTTTAGCCAAGAATCAGCCTTTTTTGTTCTTCTCTTTTCAATTCACCACTCATCGTCGCGTATTTTATTTTAACAAAAAGTATTGTTTTTTATATTTATTTTAACAATTTTTGACACTTTTCTTTCTCCTCCTCATCCCGAAATTCTTCGAAGAATTCAGTGTTTCCTTTTTTCTTGGTCCTATTTTCTCGTTTTGTATTCGTGTGGTGTCCTTCTTCATTATTATTATTATTATTATTATTATTTCATTTTGCCGTTATTAATCATAAAATTAAAGATGATGATTCGAGAGAGTTCTATTGATTGTTTTTTTACTTTTCAGAAACTAGAACTCTAGAAACATTTCAAAATCCAGGTTCGGAACTCCCAGAAAAAATCTAGAATCAGAAGGAAAAAAGATTCGGAAATTAAAAACTATGATTAAATGTCTAAGTGGCAATTTTTTTGAAAAATGCGAAGCAACTAATGCGTCCATTGCAGATTTTATGGTATATCTTATTCATTTTAATTAAAAGTTGCTACTTATTGAAAATTTATTTTAAAAAGGTGCGCGCTCATATGGTTTTCTCATCAAAAAGTTGTTTTGCCCCTATCGAAGTATGGAATAGGGATCGGATGTTGTAATCCACAGGTCCTGGGCGATGATGCGCATAATGGATAAGAGATGGAAAACGCGCCGATGAATTGGGTACAGGGAAAGGGCGCCGGTATGGGGCATATACGAGGCATATGAGGCACACCGCCGCCGCAAAGCATCTCCTCGCCTGGCTCGCTGGCACTCGATGAAATGAACTAAAACGTTGGTTGGGGGTTCCTAGAGGTATCAGTGAAGTTTTATTGTGATGTGATTGTGTTCAGGTCTTCCGATTTCGTACTTTTTATTCTCCCATCTATTTTTTTAATATTTCGACTGACACATTTCTGATTTTCTTCGAAACTTAATGTTTTGATCTCGAAAAAGACTTATGGCAGTTTTCATTGAAATTTGAGATGAAACTTCATATTTTAAAATCTTCGAGATTACATGTAAAAATTGAAAATTGTTTTCAATTCACACTTTGTAATTATTGCATACTCACCAACTTACCTTTCATTCCACCTGAAAGTACGATTTAACAATAATTGCAAAGTGAAAATAGAAAATTCTCAATATCTTCTGTTTTAGCGAAAAACATGGAAAATATGAGTGAAAGACATATTTCGACAGAAATTCAGAGATTTTTCAGTGTGCCATAACAATTTTTCCAGAAAAACACCGAAAGAATCATCGAAAAGCTAGAAATTTAGGCTCGAACTGACAAAAAATTGACAAAGTTCGCGGTGTGGATTTACGGTAAACAACGCGCGCATCCGGGATCTCGGAGTGTTGTAGGCGGCCTACCGTATCAGACCCATATCCCACATATCGCCCATCCACCCAGAATCACAGTGAATGGTTGCGGCATAATCTCCGGGGGATAGGAAGGGTAGAAAAATCCGATATCGTGCGTTGCGGGTTCGAGTTCGATAGCCAGCATTTTTTTGCTGATTTTCAACACGGTTCAGAAATGTGTGAGAATGTAAGCGAACGATTTTCTCTTCTTGAATGAAATGGTAAAACAAGAGTATCCCGTTTTTCAAATTTCAAGTCGATTTAATATTTGATTGATTTTCGAAGCTTTCACTTTGTTTTTGTCTCAAGTCACTAGATAACCTTGGAAGAAAATTTGGTGAAAAATCAGTACATTTAATGGGCTTTTCTTGAATGATCCGTCTGAAAGCACAGAAGTTTTTGATGAAAAGTCGAAAGTCATACACTGAAAACACCCTATAGCCCCTCTTTATCGAGTCCCCTCTAATAGAACGTTCTCTGAGATGTGCTCCGAAAAATAGAATGCCAGCCTCCGAAAAACAACACTCTCCAATCGAATGTCCCCCTAATAGAATGCCGCCGAAAAAGTACTTCACCAGATTATCAATCTGTTGTTTCTTAGAGTCAGCCACGGATGTTCGGAACTGAGTTCGGAATTATGACCATTCTCGGAATAGAATTTCTACCGGAAAAATTCCGAAAATTTTTTTTGGAATGTCTCTTTTTTTCGGAATCCCATCTCGATCGGAATATTTCCAAAGCTTCTTTTTTCGGAATTGGAGATTTTTGAACTACGGTATGTCAAAGACGCACGCAAAACATTTGCTTGCAGGTCAAGAGCGAACTTACGTTTGATATTTTTTTGCGCTGTCGAAATCTTTCTGTCAATTTTCACCAATTTTTGGCGTTTTTGTGCATTAAGAATTGAATTTCTACCTTGTAAAGGGGGACTCCGACCAAAAATTTTTATTGCATTAAAATGTGTTAAAAGTTATCTATTTTCCGAATATTATTGCGAAAAAATTTTAAAAAATTCCGAAATCCCCGAAAAACGGCGTTAAAAAGGAAGAAAATTCAAAAAAAAGGTGCCGCCGGGGGACGAGGATTTTCAGTGAGAAACCTAGGCCACGGCAGCGGGCGCCTTTCCTACGTGGCAAAATTTCCGGATTTTTTTCAATTTCATGTCCGGCAGGTAAAAAACGTAAAAAACCACTGTCGGCGAATTGAAAAAAGGGCTGTCAGGTGCCGTGGCCTAGGTTTCTCACTGAAAATCCTCGTCCCCCGGCGGCACCTTTTTTTGAATTTTCTTCCTTTTCAACGCCGTTTTTCGGGGATTTCGGATTTTTTTTGAATTTTTTCGCAATAATATTCGGAAAATAGATAACTTTTAACACATTTTAATGCAATAAAAATTTTTGGTCGGAGTCCCCCTTTAAAACTTGAATTTTTTTTAAACTCCGAATATTCCGAAATTTTAACATTTTGAAAATCTGAAAACTTCGCATTTCCTTTTCACAGTTCTGTTTCGGTAGGGTCCGAAAAGAATCTTTGCAAAATTTTTCCGCAAAAAATAGTGTTGAAGAATAGAATGCCACCCTCAAATAGAACTTTCTCCCAGCTATTCATTTAAAATAGAACGCCATGGCATTAAATTATACTACATAGGTGCAAAGCTAAAAAGAGTTTAAAATTTTTCTAAGATTTACTAATAGAAATTCTTCCGCGCTTATTCTTTTCAAGGTCTCAATTCGAATCTTTGGATATTCAGAAATTTGAGTATTTGGAATGTCTAAAATAAAGATATCCAGAAATTGTAAAAGTAAGACAATTGGGGATTTAGGGATCAATTACAAAAAAAATCGAAAGTTCCAAAACTCTTCATTGTCAATATTCAGAAGTTTCAAGTCCAAATGTCCACGTTTTCGGAAGGTTAATTCATGATTTTTTTTTAATTCGAAAGACTTCGAGTTTTGACTCTCAGAATTTCTAATTCGGAACTTAAGAAATTTGGAAATTGAGAAATTGAGAAGGTCCTAACTCAACACTTTTCGCAATTACAAAACTCGCGAATTTTCATATGTTAAAGTAAATATCTAAATATGGAAGTTTGAGAGTTTTCCCCAAGTTTTTGAGTTTCTAAATCGCGGATCGTAATTTTTTGGATCCCCGAGATTATTATTCTGAATTTACAGGATTTCCGATTTTTTGAATTAAAAAAGAGAGTAATCCAGAAATCTTTCGAAAATTGGAAATCCTGAAAGTGTGTCACAATATCGAAGAACTTGAGAATAAAATATGAATGACGTGATCCTTTGAGAAAGAAAAATGAAAAAGTGAGGAGCGGAGCGACGAACAGTACAATGAATAGGTCTCATCGCGCCGAAGGCGCACTATCCAGCTGTTTGAAGCGCCGGAGGCGCGGCAAACATGCTGGTGAACATCATAAAGTACCACCAGCTTCTTTGAGATTTTCTCTTTTCGGGTGGCCACCGCGACGTTTCGAGAGCAGTCACTTTGAAAGTAACAGTTTCGCGATTTTTGAACAGAAACAACGCAATATTTTGTCTTCTAATTTTTATACTGATTTTGGGAGAAGTTCTGTGTATATTTGAATCTATCAAAATATTTTTTGCAAAATCGCAATTTGTGATTTTCGGTTTTTCGGTTAAATGCATTCTTGGTTAAATGCCTAAAATGCCTAAAAATCGCCCAAATTGTTTTCTGATTTTGCAAATTCCCCTTAACAGGAAGTGTTCTCCGATCAAAGCATACCCATACATCTCTTCTTATTTCAAAAAAAATCCATTTGTGTAAACTATTCATTTGGCAAAAAAGGTGTCCTTTTTGTCACACAGTCTTCTGTGTTCTTTTACGTAACTTCAATATCCTCTTATCCAATTTCCCATTAGAAGCTTTCACTTTTTATCAGCTTCTTCAACACTAAAAAAGAGAGGGATATCATTTATCATTTATCACTTTTCTCTCCCCCCCCCCCTCTCTCTCTCTCTCTCTCTCTTTTCTTCTAATCTGCCATTCTGAAAGAAATCGAACCACTATTCTTATTCTTCTTTTCTTATCACTTCTTTATCATGCGTCGATTCTGTCGACTGCTATTTTTAAATTCCCTACTTTCCATATCGATTTGTAAAGCTCAAAATCCGGCACATTTGGTGGCTGATGAATTTAAGGTGAGAAGGGGACATCTGGACACACAGATACATTGTAGTTTTCAAATTGGAACTTTTTAAATTTCGGAATTTCAGAATCTGAGAATTTCAAAATCTTGAGATTTCAGGATTATAGTTTTTCAGAAACCAACGTTTTAGAATTGTTTTTCCTATTAAAAAATCAACATTTCAGGAGCATTTTAACGTCGAAGAAAAGCAGCTGGAAACCGTGGAAGAGCTTCTCTTGAAAATGAAAAAATTGGCACATTCCAGAAGTTTCGCTGGCAGAGAATTCGGACATGATGTGAGTTTTTTGCAGAGATTTCCGGATTTGGTATTCCGATTTCCGTGACAATAATTCTTAGGTTTCTTATAAGACAATCCTATCAAAAAGCTGATCGATGCTTTTTGGTTACTACAACGATAGGTACTTTTTTCTAGGGGCTCGAGGTATAGTGGCCTTCCTTCGAAAAATTAATATTATTCCGGCTACCGTAATCCGGATTCCATTTCTCGAAAATTTTTTTCGGAAATCTGTGGTGGAATGCGTTATGGACGTTTTCGAAATCTCGGAAACTCGAAAAGTATTGAAAAATATAATTTCGGGATTTTCGGAATTCATTGTAGTTTCTAAAAAATTGGCTTTCTTCATTCATAATTTCGGAAAATTCCAAAACAAAAAAACTAGGATTTTCAGAAACTTTAAAGAAACACTTTTTTTCGTTTTTTTGAGTTTTTTTGGAATCTCGGAAAATTGTGAAAACCCATATTTTCGGAATTCCAAAAAGTTCATATTTTCTCGGAATCTTTAGGAAATTTAGTAATTTTGAAGTGTTTTTTTTTCTGTATTTTGAAGTTTTGAGACTTGAAAAACAAGAGTTTTGGAATTTCGGAAAATCCTGATTTTCGGATAATCCGAATTTTGGCAATTTGAAAATTCTGGAAGGAAATCATTTGCAGGCCGTCGAAGATTCGAAAAAAGAAGTTGCTATCAGTACGCAACAAGGTACCATTGATAAAAAAGTCTCGCCATTTTTGTTTGAAGGTAATATCGAATTTTTGGAAGTCCAAAGATTATTTTTCCATTTCTAGGAGACATTTTCCTATCCCGCCGTCAAGCTGTGGATATTCTGAAGGCATTGTCAAAGGATAAGACTAAACGATTGAGAAGGTTTTATCAGTAGAGCGCGTTTGCTTTTTAACTCTCTTTTTCAGATCCTTCGTCTCCGATAAAACTGCCACGTGGAAGTCGTTACCTATCAAATATCGATTCCATGAGAGTATTGGTAAGTTTTTCAAAAGCTAGGCCATGAACATTCTAGGCCACCATATGGCTTTTTTCAGATTTCTATACCATCAGCCAAATTATCGCAGCCATCAGATTTTGGGAAGATTCCACGTGTATCACTTTTGAAAATGTGTCAGATGCACCAGTAGGAGATTATATCGAATTTTTCAGTGGTCAAGGGTAAGAGTTTGAGATTTCGAATTTTTATTAAAAATTGTAAAGTTTGGAGTTTTACAAAAGCATTTCAGAATTTTCTGATTTGTTTGGAAATTTCTAGGTGTACTAAACAAAAATAGAGCTTCGTTTTTGTAGTTGACAACTTCTTTGTGCAAACGCGCCCTAGCGAGATATGCCAAGCGTAAGTGCAGCTGTTTTTTTCGGCGGCGGGTGGGAGAGGGGCCCAAGAAAAGCAGGCGTATCTCACTAGGGCGCGTTTGCACAAAAACGTTGCCAACTACAAAATTAGAGCTCTAGTTTTGTTCAGTAGATTTGTGAGTTTTCAGACAAATTAAAAAATTCTGAAATACTTTTGTATACATCCAAAGTTGATCATTTTCAAAAGGCCGTGAAATCTGTAATAGAAGGGCACACTGTAAAGTTTCAGCTCCATTATCTTAATTCATATGCAAGACATTAAAAATGTAAAAACTGGTTAAATGTTCCTGATATTATGATCAAAATTTTGTCAGTTGACAACTTTTTTATTCCTTTGACAGGAACCGAGAAAAATTGGCTCAACATTAAAAGTTAGGTAAAATTAATTGACTTGGGTGCGACCTGTAAATTTCAACAATTCAAAGAAATCTATATAACGCATTTCAGATGCTACTCAATGATTGGACGAAACGGAGGTCGTCAGGGTATTTCGATTGGAGAAAGTTGTGTGAAAGCAAGTTTTTTCTATCTTTTAACACTTTCTTTTTTTTGACAGATGGGCGTTATTGAACACGAAATCGGACACGCACTTGGTTTATGGCATGAACAGAGTCGACCCGACGCGTTGGGTTATGTTTCGGTGGGTGTGTGGTATGAAATGCATGGCCTAGGTTTCCAGTGAAAAAAGTCGTCAACTTTGACGTCTTACAAAAGTAGTTCTAGGTTTTGTGTTTTAACTGAATGATTTAGATAATAATAAACAAGAATCGAGCTTTATTTCTGTAATCGAAAACTTTTTGCTGCAAATACGCCCTAATGAGATATGGCATATGGAAGACGTTATGTGGCGGCCAGCTAGGTTGTTAGATGGCGGTTAGGTGGCGGTTGATGCCATATCTCTCTAGGGCTAAAATTTACAAAAAAGTTGCCAACTACAAAGATTAAGCTTTAGTCTTGTTTAAGATTTTCAAACTATTTAAACAAACTAATTTTCCGAAGCAACCTACCCACAGCTTGGGCCGAGGCCGACTGCGGCCCTGTTTTCCACCGCTTTGTCGACACTGTAGAATACCGAAATTTCAGATCGAACGAGACTTCATCCTTCCATCATATATCAGTGATTTCCTACAACGTGACGATGAAATCGATACATTGGGAATACCGTATGACTTGGGATCTGTGATGCACTACGGTAGTACAGCGTTCAGTGTAGATCAAAAGAGTAAAACTGTGGTCACGAGGGATTCATTGTATCAGCAGACAATTGGACAACGCGAGAAACTGTCATTTTATGATGTGGCAACCATTAATACTGCTTATTGCAAAGGTAATATCTGAGTGGACTTCGCGAGAAATGTCTCAGTGGAGCGCATTTACAAAAAAAACCTTAAATGCTCCCAAAAAAAAAGTGAAATCCCACATTCCAGAAGAATGCAAATCGGAAAAAACAGAATGTGAGTACGGTGGATATATGAGACCATCCAAATGCTCGGAATGCCTGTGTCCAGACGGTTTAGGCGGAGAAAAATGTGAGAAAAATGAGGATGCGAAAAGTGAGTTTCAAAATTTTTGAATTTCTAAAAATTCCCATTTTGTAGACGCCGAATGCGGTGGAATCCTTGAGCTTTCCGATGAATGGAAGACGATAGAATCTCCAAACTATCCGGATCCCGGATACGAAGCTGATCAGAAATGCTCGTGGCTCTTGAAAGCTCCAAAAGGGAAACGAGTCGAAATAGAATTTATCGAGGATTTCTCTTTCCTTTGCACATCGACGTGTGTGGATTTTGTCGAGCTCAAAATTTCGGACGATTTGAGAAATACTGGATTTAGGTGGGCATTTTATCACTTATCTCGGTTACTGTCAGAGATATCAAAATTTTGTCATCTGATAAAATGTTAGTGATATTATGAAAAACATTTTATTAGTTAGCAACTTTTTGATATCTTTTACAGGAGCCGAGATGAATAAACTCAAAGAAGAGTGAGGGGCGCTAGGGTAGTAGGTTTTCCCAACTTCGAGCTCAATCATCTCATTTTCTAGAAGGGATACCAAAAATGTGTCAATTGATAAAATAGAAGTAATTTCATGATTCACATTTTATCAGTTGGCACATTTTTGATATCTTTTTCAGGAGCCGAGATCAATTGGCTCAAAATGCAAGTCAAGGGTATCTGTTCGAATAATTTCTAGGCCATCATCCCGAAATCTAATTTTATTTTTACAGATTCTGTTGCTACGACAAGCCAGAAATCAGTTTTGTCTCTCAAATCGACACCGCAATTGTCATTTTCCGATCTCAACTATCCGCAGACATCGGATTCAAAATCCAAGTCCGATCCACAGAATCCGAGCCACGCACGACAATTGCGCCAACTATTATTACTACCACAAGTGAGATTTTAAAGGTTAATTCGATATATTGCTGATTATTCCAGTGGCCCCAATTACGGTAGACACTCCAAATGTGTGGGCGGATTGGGGGGAATGGTCAATGTGCTCTAGGACTTGTGGTGGTTGTGGAATTCGGAGTCGCGTCAGATCGTGTAGGTCCAAAAAATGCGAGTGAGTGTTTTTGCAAACTTTGAAGTCCCGAAAAGCAAAATTCGTGTTCAGAGGACGTCGTCAAGAGTTTGGAACCTGTAATCTGAAGGCGTGTCCTGTGGATAAGCATTGTGCCAAACTGTTGTCCAACAATCGGTTGTGCAATGGAAAAGTTTGTACAAAGTGAGTAATTTTTTTGTTTACTTTGACCTAATTTAATTAGGTTCCTGTAAAAGGTATCAAAACATGGTTAACTGATAAAATGTTTTTCATAATATTACTAATAAATCTTTTATAGGAATAGAGATAATCAAGCTCAAAGTGTGCAAGTGTAGACCACATATATTTTTAAGCTCAATTATTTACACACGCGTTTTTAAACCCAATTATATCTCAGTTGCTTAGAACGATAATCTTTGAATTTTAATAAACTTGTAATGTCGAATTTTCTCTAATAGAAGGACAAACCGTCAACTTTGAGATCGATTGTCTCGGTTCCTATGAAAGATATAATCAATTTATCAACTGCTGAAATCTTTTACAGGAACCGAGATAAAGCGTATCAAAATGATGGTGAATGGTTTCTACGCTAGGGTAGGAGAGCCCCCCCCCAACTTTGACTCAATTTATCTTGGTTACTGTAAGAGGTATCAAAAAGTGATTAACTACTAAAATGTTTATCATGTTGTCACAGACAGTTTATCAGTTGACAACTTTTTGATATCTCTTCTAGGAACCGAGATAATTGGGTAAATGCTGATGGAAGCCTTTCTTCCCTACCAAACTTCAAAAAAAAATTCTCAATGGAGCGCATTTCCTCAATTTCAGAAATGATATTGCAATATCCTCATGTGATGCACCTCAATGCTGTCCTCCATTTGTCAATGTGGATGGAATGTGCCAATCGGATCAGGAGAATCATCATGACGAACTTTGGCTCTCGATTTAGACGATTTTTAATTTATTTTTAACTATCTTCTCCTTTCTAGGTCTTTCAATTTTTCCTTTGTTTTTCCTTATCAACGGGTTTTCGTAAATGAAACTTTTTTTTGAAAAAAAAAATAATTTTTTGAATTCAAATCCCTCCATTTTCCCATATCTACACCCTCCAACGAAACAATGAAAACTAGTTTTTTCTCTTTTTTTTTTAGATCCAGAGATAATAATTTCCTAAATTTTGTTCTGTGTAAAAAGATGCCATTCTCGATTTTTTCGATATCGATGAATATCCAGAAAATGAACAAATTTTGAATTAGTGTTGCATTGTGTAGTCGTCGAGATTCTTATCTGAAATAACAGAAATCGGAAATTCAAACATTTGAAACTTGAAATTTAAAAATTCAGAAATTCGGGAATACAGACATTAAGGGATTTGAAAAAAAACCAAAAAATCTGAAATTTCAAAAAATTCCGAAGCAAGTTTCAAAAATCACAAAAATAAACAAAAATCTTAAAATCGAAATAATCTCTAATGTCCTAAAAATGATAATTCCCCAAAATTCCCGGAATTTCAGAAAACGAACTTCCAAGAATCTTCAGAATCCTTGGAATCTTGGAATCTTGGAATTTCAAACCCGAAATATTCCAAAAATTCAAAAAATTAGAAATAATTCCAAAATTATCAAATATCCAAAAATTCAAAAATTCAGAAATTCGGAAATTCGGAAATCGGGAAATTCCATAGGTTTGGAACTTCAGGAAAACAGAATATCGGAAGTTCGGAAATTCAGAAATTCAGTAATAAAAAAGACTTTGTGCGAAATGTCCCTGAGCCGTTTTTTTAGGTTTCAAGGTATTTGAAATGGATATTCGCCAAGCCTTCAAATCTCAATTGACACATTTTTTTGTTTTTTTGTATACTTTTAAAAATCCTCTTCATTATTTTTTTATCTATACACCCCTTCTTTCCTCCATTTCTTTATATAAGAGAAATTTTTGAAAAACACTAAAAATCTGAAAATGACAATTCTAATTTACGATTAGTTAGACGAGCGAGTCTCCTAGCTTATCTGGAGCCGAGATAGGTTTGTTTAACTTTAGATAGGTAAGAGACGCAGACAACGATACACTCTAACTGTCTGCATTTATTCAAAATTCAAGGCGTCAACATTAATCCCATTTATCTCGTTTCCTGTAAGATATATCAGAAAGTTGTCAACTGATAAAATATTGCTGATATTGCGATAAGTATTTTATCAGCCACATTTTGATATCTCTAACAGGGAACGAGATAAATTGGTCTGAAGTTATTCGGGCACTTATCAATCCTTCCAAATCTCATGTTTACATTTTTCATGTATACTTTCGAAGATCTGCTTCATTACTTTCTTTTGCAAATAAATCACACCCAGTATCAAAACACAATGATTTCTGACCCTCTAAAAATCCCTATATAAAGACCGGAAGTAGAATTCTCACAAAGTTTCCAAACGAAACACGGAAAGTAGGGAATTCAAAGATTCAAATCTTCGAAAAACCAACTAGTTCTCATTTCATAGGAACACTATCCCAGAGAACTGTTTCCGAATCTCTTCTTCTTCATATTCATCCACGGAACAACAAGATATCCTTTTCCCTCTTTTTTGTCTTATTCTTATCCAAATTTTGAATCTCTAAATCTAAATTTCTGGGCTTCTCCTATTAGCCATCTCTTTCCTTTTTCTTCCCGATTACGAAACGGTCTATCTCTTTTTTTTATTAGAAAAAAAGAAGAAGCAATTTAGAAAATTTTTGCGGGAGAAGAAGAAGGAATATGCCTATTTCTGAAAATCCCAGTGGTGGATTGTCTAAAATTTCAAATTCCCGCCATTCGTTTTCCGTTATCGTCGTTCTTTTTATTTTTTCCGTCGCTGCTGTTTTGCCGTTGTTGTTTGTGAGTTTTTATGTTGTCTGAAATCCTGAATTCCTGATTTTCTAATTTTTTGAATTCCTGAATTCCTGATTTTCTAAATTTCTGAATTACTGAATTCCTGATTTTCTGATTTTCTGAATTCCTGAATTCCTGGTTTTCTGAATTTCTGAATTTTTGAATTTCTGAATTCCTGGTTTTCTGAATTTCTGAATTTTTGAATTTCTGAATTTCTGAATTACTGAATTCCTGATTTTCTAAATTTCTGAATTACTGAATTACTGAATTCCTGAACTCCTGAATTTCTGAATTCCTGAATTCCTGGTTTTCTGAATTTCTGAATTTCTGAATTTCTGAATTTCTGAATTTCTGAACTTCTGAATTTCTGAATTTCTTTTTTGCTCTTAAAATTTCAAGTTGTAAGGAATATTTTTATTGAGCTTATGCGCCTTTAAACTGGTACAAAAAAGGTCCCACAACGAAAAATATCGTAACCTAAAAATCATTTCCGGAAACAATTGATTTTTCTTCAAGTTCTTGCAAAACTTGTAAGGTTTTTCGGCTATTTTTGAAGATTCTCTCTCCATTTTTCTGATTTTTTTTTGTCTGAAATTTGATGAGATGGTGTTCTTGACGAAAGATTACTGTAGATTACTGTAGAAAACTTTGTATTTTGTAATTTCATTTTGTTCAAGCGAAACCACGTCAAAATGCACACAAAAATTTGAGCTTGCAAAAAAAATCTACAAAAGGGAATGAGTTTTCTACAGTATTCTACAGTAATCAAACTTCGACAAAGACACGTGGGTTCAGGCGAGGGGGTCAGAAAGCTCGCCCCAGCTAACTCGTAGGCCAGCCGAAATTAACTAATTCAAAATGACACGTGGATTTCACGTGGTGGGAAAAATGGGGAAATGGAATGGGGAAAAAACGAGAAAAAACGAGAAAAAACGAGCGAAAACGAACGAAAACATCGAAAAATATTGAAAAAATAAACGTGTCGGCCTAATGCATATGATTGTCAGTCAACAAGCGCCGGCAGCCAAATGAGAATTTTTGAAAAATTTACTGGGGCGCGCTTTCTGACCCCCTCGCGTGAACCCAAGTGCAAAGACGAAAAAAACTAGAAAAATCGAAAAATAAATCTTTGAAAATAGCTGAAAACCTTTAAAAATCAAAATTTTTTTGAAAAATCTGAAATCGCATTTTTCAAAAAAATTTCAAAAAATCGCAATTATGTTGATCTCCTCAAAAATCAGAAGATTCAAATCTCCGGATTTTATATGTTTTTTGGAAAGCCAAAAAAAAAGACGAAAAGTATACTTTTTGATCCTAAAGAAATAATTTTAAAAAAGAACATTTTCTAGTCCCTCACTGAAAAAGTTAAGCCACCCTATCCCAAAAACCCCTTAATTTTTCCAGAGCATGATGTCTATACATTTATTTCGACAACGAAATGTTATTATGACAGTCGACAGGGTGGCCGCGAAGGTTGGTCCCGGTGGCCTAGAAAGAGTTTTCGGCACTCTTCTAGAATCACAGGTAAAATGCGAACGGGTCCGTTACAGACGCTTCGCGTTCGCGCGCGGTTGAAATAGGAACCGCATACGGACCGCACGCGAACGGGGAGCGTCCGTAACGGATTGTTCGCGAATCACCTGTGATCACGGAACGAAAAAAAAAATCACGGAACGAAAAATAGAATCACGGAACGAAAATTTTGGGTGATCCAAAAAACTGCTATCTTCTTTACTTTGACAAGTAGTATCCGTAATACTAACTTTGGCATCAATTTTACTTTTTCCAATACCCAAGGTATACTAAAAAGGGTATATCAATTTCTTAAGATACGTTAGTTAACAGGTTTCATAGGACCTGTAGAACATCTGAAAACTCAGTTTAAAGCTACACCAAACAGTTATTGAGCTTGCTGACATTTTATGGTGTTCTAGATAAAAGAAGCATGGCGTTTCAGCCTGAAAGAGCCTGAAAGAAGTGGTTGAAAAAAGCTTCCTCAACCCAAAAATATCATCGAATTTTTGAAAAATGAAAAATCCGAGGCAAGAAATTTCATGCCACGATTTCTACTCAATTTGGCCCAAGACTATTTTTATTCCGGACCAATATTTTGTTCAAGAAGACTATTTTTGAATTAGAAAAGATTTCTTCAATTATAGGCTTAGGCTGAACCATCATGTTTCCTTCATGTGGGACACCCAAAAAACGACGGGAAGTTTGATAACTCTGCTCGTTGCAGCCTCTAATCTAACTCTCATATGTCCCATGATCCTCAGAACATCTGGGAAAGGTCCTATGTAACCTATTAACCATGTACGCTATCAACTAGTGTACCTTAAGGACTCAATATACAACATTTCGGGGGTCATTTTGGATACTGAGCAAAAAAAATGTAATGTCAAGGTTAGATTTCAGGATAGTACTTGAATAAAGGTCCTAGCAATTTTTGGATTACCCAAAATTTTCGTTCCGTGATTTTTTTTTTCGTTCCGTGATTTTTTTTCGTTCCGTGATTCTAGAAGAGTGCCGAGTTTTCTAGTCTATCAATTTAAATATTCCAGCTATCCTTCGAAGACATCCATAATGACTATGATTTTGTGCAATTTTCCGAGGGGCTGAAGGCAATGCAAAAGCCACCGTATATCGTTTTTGTAAGTTTTTGAGAAAATGTGGCCTAGAAATTTGAATATACGAGTTCTAGGCTATCAAAGTTGGGAGTCTTTCTAGTCCACTATTGTCAAGTTAGGCCACCAAATAAGATGACCTAACTTTCTTGTGTGTTTTCTAGGCCATCCCTATATATATTTTTAACAGTATTCTTTTACAGTACGACTCAAGCAATTTGGATATCTTTTTGAATCATATTTGCAATTTGGAATTCATTCCGAACGCCCTGTCTCGCCTTGTCGCCATATCATTCGACACAAATTCTCATATGATTTTACAAGAAAAGTATCCGAAAATTCCGAGTGTCGTTGTCGATTTGGATCCTATCAAGGTATCGTCTAGGATAACATTTTCTAGGCCATATGAAGGGTTTTTCAGGAGTCCCTAGAGGAAACGTACGAGAATCGACGATATATCATTTATCAGTTGGTGCTGTTGACTCGTACCCGAGTGTGTGCATCGTTGGCACTTCGAGGAATCAATTATTGGGCAATGCAACAGGATTCGTTGTGGATTGAGAATTTTGAGTCGATGAATATTGAGGATCGATATACCGATCAGTATATTCTTTTTGACACGGTTGGAAATGAGCAGGTGGGCTTTTCCGGTGGACTAGGAAATTCGTTGGGGGTTTTTAGGCCACTGGTGTTGACATCCAAAACGCAATGAAACATTTTAAATGATTTTTTCGAATATAGTGATAGTGGCTTAACTTTCTCTGGATTTTTCTAGGCCATGAACAATTTATTGCATAGAAAACGTCTAAAATGCCCTGGATGTGTTAAAAAATAGGCCACCATGGCAAATGACCTAACAACCTCCAATAGAGGTTTTTGATAGTTCTGGGCTGTTGGTAACATGCTGGGGCTATGTTAACATCCAAAACATCCTGTGGACTAGCTTTCTGATTGTAAATTTTCTATGCCAGAATTTCTAAGCCAAGGCCATGACCACTTTCAATTTTCAGCTGCCGGAATACAAGCGAATGCATGGTTGGATATGTGGATCCACTTATTTCGTACGTGGAAATCCTACCACACATCAGTTTTTCATGCAGGTAAGAGCGTTTTTGAGATTTCTAGGCCATAAAAAAGGGCAATTTCCGAAAATAGGAATTCTAGGCCATCATATTGAAAAGTTAGGCCATCAGATGAAAAACAAGAATCAGGGATATTAGACTTCGGGTTTTTTTGGGATTCTCGGTTATGAAAACTTGGATTGAAAACTTGGATTCCTAGGCCACCCAATTCAAAAGTTAGACCATCAGATGAAAAATGAGAATTCAGGTCATTTGGTCATCTAATTCTTAATTCTCGATTTCTAGGCCACCAAATTGGTAAGTTTCCAAAAATTCGAATTTCTAGGCCACACACTCTTAAAGTTAGGCCATCGAAATAGAATTTCAATTTTTAGTTTTCCAGGACCCCCGGTTCAAAAGCAAGTCCATCATATTAAGAATGATTATTAGCCATCTTACTTAAAATTGTTGGGTTCTAGGCCACCAAATCAGAAAAGACTGTCAGAATTCCAATTGTGCCATTGACATTGTTACGTAGGCTTCGGAGATTTTCGCAACAGATAATAAGAACAAAATTTTCGAATTGTCTACTTTTTGTTCTTCCTCACAATTATAATAGATCTCCCAGAGATAGGGAAACTACAGTAATCCTTTCAAAAAAAAAAGATTTTTGGCAAATGCGCTCTATCGAACTCTAATTTTCAGGTCGACGCTTTTATGAGGTCCCACCAAAGTCCGGATTCATCAATTATGACATATTTGTGTGGTCATAGGAACTACAAATGTCATCGGTTACCTAGATGGTAAGGATTACTGTAGTCACCGTAAAACCTGTTTGAGAAGGAACCCTGAAATTGAAGTGTCCCTCTAGGGATCCCATAAAAAAACAAAAGGGGGTATCTACAGTAACCCAACCACCGTAACCCATTTTCAGGATCATCTCTTCATCAGATTATTTTCGTGGGACACGAGAAACGACACCAGTCATGATTCAAGTGGATTCGGATCAGAAGGAGGAGACAAAAATGGAACTATTCCAAAGAGCCAATTTTATTTTTCGACATGATAACGGGACTTGTGATAGACGGGCGGTGCATAAGTTGAGGTGAGTCGAAAGGCGGTATTTCAAACTCTGATTTTGAGAATATTAAGAATCCTAAAAATTCCGACAATCCAAAGTTTCAAAAAGTTTAAAAAACAGGAATATTCTTTAAAATCCGAAAATTCTAAAAATTCTAAAAAATGCTAATATCACATAATACAGTTCAGAATCTAAAAAATCTTAATTTTGAGAATTCAAAAATCCGAGAGTCCAAGATTCTGAGGATCCTAAGAATCTATGTAGGAATTTAAGAGCCTAAACAACCTTAAAATTTCGAGAATCCCTAAAATCGCAAAAGCCCAAAAATTGTAGGTATACGAAAAATCATTATCATTATCGGCGCATCCTGATAATCTCCAAATTCCATCAAAATACGAAAATCTAAAAAATCCCGAAATCCCCGAAGTTCACAATTCAGAAACGTTGTATTCCAAAAATTCAGGAATTCGAGAGTTGAAGATCAAGAATCTGAAAATCTTAAAAATAAAAAAAAACCCTAAAATCTCGAAAAATTATAAACTTTAAAAAATCTTTAAAAATCCGAAAATCCCAGAAGTTCAGAATCCAGAGAATGTGAATTCCGAAAATTCAGGAATTTGAGAGTTTAAGAATCTAAGATCTAAAAAAACTTCCAAAATGTCAAGTTTTTTCAGAGATGCCGTCCGATTGGCATTCCCAGAAAAGCTGAAAACGCTGGGACAAAATATGTATGCTGAAGGCCTACTCACTCGTCTTTACTACGCCTACAAACACATTTTCAACGTGGATCGGTATAATAACAAAGTGTTCCTAACCGTACATTATACACTCATCTAGACACACATTTTTACGGTATCTCCGAATTTAAAAATTTGAAATTTCAAGATTTTTGTTCAGCGGAGCGCGCCTGCTTTGTGCGAAATTTTATTTTAACCAATTTTCGTATTTTTTTAAAATTCTCTCTTTCTAAAACATGATTGTTCGGCTGAAAAACACATATTTTTAGTGCAAAACCTGCGAAAAAGAACAAAAATTGACATGGAAAATCGAAACTGAATTTTCGATTTATTGAAAAAAAATTCAACAATTATAGTAAAAAGCAATTTTCAAGAGTATTTTAAGCAGTCTTTTTTTGAAAAAAAAAACTAAAATTTCGATTTTCCCTTTTATTTTTTCGGTCGAAACTGGATGTTTTTGCATTCAAAATGTGTGTTTTTGCCGAATAAATATTTTTTATATGAGAAAAATTCGAAAAAAACGACGAAAAACGATTAAATATCGCTGTTGTAAAATCATGCCGCTGTGCAAACGCGCTCCGTTGAACAAAACGCTTGTAGATCAAATTTTTAGGCTGGAGAGTTGTTTATTTTCCCTCTTTATGTTTTTTTTCTCTCGGGTTGCTCATTTTTCGGGTTGTTTTTTTTTTGATTAATAAATTCTTTATTTTCCCAAATTCAAAAAAGTCCAATGGAGCACATTTGCAGTCGTTCCATTTGCTTCTTATTCTTTTTTTTCATATAATAATACAACTGGAATGTTTTTTTTTTTAATTTTTCATTATATTCGAATTCTGGTCGCTGGAGATTCTAGGATTTTCTGAATTTGTTATCATAATGTTGATATCAGTGATTTCAGCATTTTTAGACATTATTTTTGCGAGATCACTGTAGTTTGCCACGAGTTTTCATGTGCCAATTTTAGCCCCAAAAATCCCAAAATTTGGATTTCCAGGCCACCGAAATGTCAATTTTTAGCCAATTTTCTTTTCAAGATTTTGCCCCAAAAGTCCCAAAAAATTCGAAAAAAAAATGGATTCAGTTCATCGTTAAATTAGGAAAAAGGGCAACAAGAAAGCAAAATGACATAAAAATAAGTTAAAAAACACTGGAAATGTCAAAAATTTTGGTCATCAGGGAGAGGGAAGGGATTTTTCCATAGGAAAAATAAAGAAGAAAAAAAAACAATAAATTAGACAGGAAATGTATATGAACAGAGAAGAGAGAAGAGAAGAAGAATCTCACTTTTTACCCATATTTACACAAAAAAGGATTTTAAAGGGGGAGGACAATATCGACTTAAAAATTGAAATTGCATTAAAATATGTAGAAAAGTATGTAAATTCACATAAAAATTCTGGAAACCTCAAAAAAGCGAAATAACAAATCAAAATTGTCTATTTCTGGAAACTTCTAAAAGGTTCTGGAATTTTTTTTTGAATTTCCGCCAAACATGAACATTCTAGGCCATTCTGACACGTTTCTGAAGGTGGGCTAGAATTTTCAGAAATTAAAAAAAGGTTCCAGAATCTTCTAGGAGTTTCCAGAGATTTTTCACTTTTTCTATGTGAATTTGCTTGTTTTTTCTACACATTTTGATGCAAAAGCCATTTTTCGGTCGGATTCTCCTTTTAAAAAAGACTAAAAAATACAGAAAAAAGGTCACTAATGCCGAATTCTGAAAGGATGAGCTTCCGTATTGAATACCCATTGATCTAGAGGAAGAACATCGTCATCGCTAAATATTAAATACAAATATTTGAATAGTTCAGCGAAAAGGAACGACTGCTGCACATCGTCCTGTTCTGGATTCGAGTCGTAGACGTTTCGAATTCCCGAATATCCGGCGTTTCCTTTCGCGTACTTCTCCAGATTTTGCACATGATCCCACGCCCACTGTCGATACTTTTCGTCCTTCGTCGCACGCCACAAATAGAACCACGTCTCGACGACTTCTGGACGGAGGATGTAGTAGGAATCTTGACGACGTTCGGTTTTCGCTTCGATCGATGACGTGAATTGGAATGATTCCGGTCCGATGCCAGTGGCTGGAAATGGGAATTTCAGAATCTAAAAATTTGGATAGAACAATCCTAAGAAAATTGAAAATCTCAAAAATTCTAGAATTCCTAAAAATTCGAACAAATTCAAAAATCCTGGAAATCTGAGGTGGAAGAGAAAGATTTGTAGTTCGCAGGCAGTGATTTTTTATATATTTTTTCTCCATTAACCATTAAAAACAATTAAGAAGAGAGGAAAAGTGCTGAACGCGGACTAGAAAAAACTTCCTCTTCCACCTTTGAAAATGCTCGTTTTAAAAGCAAATTTTTTGGATTTTTACGGTTTTTGTTGTCTACAACACTAGAAAGAGCAATTTAACGAATGCGAAGGCTCATTTTTCCCTTTTTTTTCGAAAAAATTCAAATTCCTTGCTCTCTTACTTGATCTAGCATACGACTCGTGACACGTATGCCCAATATTCTTTCCTAAATCCATATAATGCTGAGCAATCGTCGCGTTCTCCTCATTCATCGCATGTAACACAACCATTCCACCACAGAAGCACGCCAAGTGCTCGAAACTATGCTCCACACGATTCCCATTGAGTTTTGCGAAATACCATAGGTTGGATTGCTCAGATTTGTAGAGCATTCGTTTCTCCATAGCAAAGATGGCCTCTTCGTACTCTCGTTTTGTTCTTTGGTCCGTTTTACCCGTAGCGATCCATTGTTTGAGCAGATACTCGTACCACGAGTCAGCCATGGCTCCCATTGAGAACAGATCTGAAAATTTCAGCATTATTTTCAAAGGACCCCGCCGCCTGTTCAAATACTCACGTTGTCCCCATCTTGGCGGGTTATCCATTGAAATATAAATGGGATACAGTCCTTCTGGCTTCTCCATAGCCGTCAAAACATCTCTGATTTTATTGGATTTTTGAGCGAAAATCGGATTTCCAGTCAAATTCGATAGATAATCAAATTCCAGTTGAATCGATCCGTACTCGGAGAGAATCGCTTTTCCACTCGCCCAACTGTACGTTTTGACTCTTCCCGTTTGTAGATCAATTAGGGAGTACGGTATTCCGGATGGGGTTTCGAAGGCTGGCAGTAGAAGCGTCGCCACGTCTTCTGCTTTCGTCAGGAACATTTTGTCACCGGTTAGAGCGTAGGCGGAGAGAAGGCCACCAGTGAAACGGATATTGGTCTCGAATACCGACAGGTCGCCTTTCTGGAAAAATTGGAATATTTTTGATTTTTCAGTGGGACTGATTAGACCCTGGAAACACTTTTTGAACTGCGGTCGGTCGATGGCCTAGAATATCTGGTTCCAGTTTCTAGGCCATCATATTTCGAATAATCCAGATTTTCGGAAACTTTCCATTTTGATGGCGGAAATTCAGATTCTCCAAAACTTATTGAAAAACCGAAAATTTTCGAAAAGTTTCCGAAACTTGGATTTCTAGGCCACCAGCCCCACGTTCAAAGTTCGTCAGCTCTCTTCTTACAACATTTCCAATAAAATCTCACCGCTAAATCCTTAAAATTAAACTCCGAAATCCAATCTCTCGCTTCCTTATACTCTTCCTTCAATCCCACAATAAACAGTGTATCAATAGCATCAATAATCGTCGCTCCAGTCTTTCCATAACCAAAAATCGACGAAGAGTGTCCCGATCGACTATTCGGCCGCAGTTCATTCTCTCCCCAGGCGTATTTTCGATATCCATCCCATGCGAATTTAATCATTTGTTTCACGAAAACCCGCCGTCCCTCTGCATCATCAGCGGCACCGATTTCTGGTTTCGGGATTGGGACGGGATTCGCTTCTTCCGCTTTTTTGAGCAATTCCTCTTGCTCTTTTTTCCGCAGAGCTTCGTTTCTGATGAAAGTGTCTCTGACATGAACACTATTCTCCTCTCGGAAATAGAGATCAGCACCTCCGGAAGGAAGGAAAAAGAAGGCTGTGATGCATACGGTGAGCAGAAACATCACTCCGACACACACGACTAGCTGCTCGTGCGATCGGAGACCCATATCGTTTGAGATTCGGGGAGAGAGGAGCCTGGAAAAAATATTTTTGAATTTTCGGAGCCAATTTCCGTTTTTTTTCAATTTTTTGGGAAAAATTCAAATTCTAATTTGAAAAACTCACAATTTTCCCAATTCCTCCCTTTCGAAAAACTAGGAAAACTACCCAGATATGCTTGAGCTGAAAAGAAATCAAATGAAAATGTAAATTTCTGAAAAAGAAGACAAATTTTCAAGCCAAGTTTTCACCAATTTTTCCTCTACAAAACCGCTGAAAAATGGTTGAAAATCGAATTCAAAACATTGAAAGACGTCTTAAAACTCGAATTTCGTTTTGAAAATCATAAAAATCCACTGTAATTTCTTTGAAAAATAGGTGAAAATTCGTCAAATTCGCTGAAAATTTCCAACTTTCTGTTGTGCGACGGAGCGCGCTTGCTGACATGCATTTTTCGCCCGTGATGAAATTTTTCGGCACTTTTCATGCGCTTTTCTCACACTTTTTTGCATGTTTTCTCTTGATTTGCATGTCAAAATAGTGAGAATTTCATTTTTTATCGAATTTCAAAAGAAAAATCGGGTTTGAGTGACTGGGAAGGGCGTAAATCGGATTTTTCGAGCAGTATACCTGAAAACTCTTAAATTGGGGTTAATTAGGTGATAATTGGCTATAATTGCAAGATATTATGTATAATTCGTTGGAAATTGTTGTAATTGTTGTGCTCGAATTCTTTTTCTTCGAAATTTTTGCGAAAAAAGGCGGGATTTGCACAAAATTCCGGAAAAACCCGGTGGCCTAGAAATTGAGAGTCGCAAAAACTAGTCCGTCTTTGGTTTGTAAAAAACTAGTCCGTCCTTGAGAAATTGTTGTTCAGATCATCCATCGCAAAACTCGTAAACTCATGGGCAATGGGCAGAGAAAATCCTACGAGCGGCCTAGAAATCCAACATTTGACAATTTCAATTTTTGGTGGCCTGGAAATCTGAATTTTGTCAATTTTCCATTTTGATGGCATAGAAAACTTTCAACTTTGTCTGTTAAAAATATCACAGCAGTACGGTGGCTTGGAAACCAAAATTGTGAAAGCTTAGCTATCATTCTCTGGTGGCCTAGGAATCAAAGCTAGCACTCGATGCCCTAGAAATTGCATTCTGTTGAATTCTAGTCCTTGATGGACTAGAAGTTCCATCCTTGGAATTCTAGTCTCTGCTGGCCTAGAAATCCAAAAGTGGAAAATCTAGTCTCCCTCACCCGGGAAACCCCTCCATGACATAATCAGTCATTCCCTTTCTCCGGTGTACGGTCTCAATGAACGTTTCACTCTCGTGACCGTGATAGTATATGTGTGATAAGTGATAACACACATCCTCTCCGATTTCGGATGATTAGAGATAAAAAGGAGACAAAGGTCGACGGGGTCTGCTTTTTGGACACAGGTACTTATTATCGAAAAAAAAACGTGTCATGTGAATGGTGTCTAATAAAAGAGGGGGATGGGGAGGAGGTGGTTTTCTGATATGATAGGGAGACGAGGAAAGGAGAAAATAACAACAGAATAAGCACATTTTTTGATGTTGTTCTTGTTTATTTTGGAGATTTTGGTGTTGAAGATCAGATTCCCACGAAATCAATGAGCAGTCTTTGCTGATTTTCCATAAATAGGGATCTTTTTTTTCTAAATTTTTGATGCCCGACTGGCCTAGAAATTCTTTTGAAATTTCTAGACCAGGAATTCTTTAAAGGCGCATCTTTGTTTTTCATTTTTCAATTCCATGCGCCTTTAAAGTCTCTTGGTTTTTTCCAGAGTTTCGACAATTTCAACGGTTTTTTTTCAACAAAAAATTGATTAAAAACGATTATTGAAAAACCTCGAAAATTTAAAGGCGCATGGCATGAATACCATCCCGGAAGTGGTTCAAAGCACATTTTCCCACCATTCGCTTGTTCTCCTAATTTTGCATAATTCACTTCCCTGTTCCATAAAACGGAAAATTGGGATTTTTCAAAAACCACAATTTTCGTCGTTTTGTCACAGAATTCTCTGACCCCAAAAACCGGTTTTTCATATGACTTAATTCGCAGGGATGGGTGTCTTCTTTCTATTCGTTTTTAACGAACAATTTTGAATTTTTCAGTTTTGGCGGGAGTTTTGTTTGCAAGAATCATTTGCCGAAAAGGACTAATTTTTGGATTTTAAGGATGTTTTGTGGCCTAGAAATCATCTAGGAAAATTCTGCCAAAAAGTGCTCTCCCAATTGTGCCATGATTTGTGGCTCTGTTTACTTTTATTGACTTTTGGTTTCACTTTTAAAAAAAATGGTCTGGCCTGCAGGGCGGTCCAGAACTCTTGGAGCTCAAGAGAGGGCTGTCTGGGTACGAAGAGAGCACTAGGTGTTCGGAGGTCAAATCATCAAACAGCTCATAGCTCAAGTACACTGTGGTCTTTCCTTATTTCTGAACTTTTTCTTCCTTTAAACTATTCTTGAAAATTCACGGCCCTGGCTGAGAATATTCTGAAAAAAAAACTCCTGCCCAAGTATGCTTAAACAGGTTCTGAAATATAGAATACCTCATTTTCAAGCATTTTTCGAGACTTGGGTCCTTTTTGGAATCACCGAATTCTGAGAATTTAAAAGTTCTAAATTTTGAATTCTCCCATGATTGCGATCTTGGTAGTCAGGTTCTCTTGAAAGGAATTCTCTTGAGTACAAACTAGAGTCAGGGATGTTCGGAATGGCTTTTTTCGGAATTTTGTAGAATTCGAATTTTACAGCGGGAATTTCATTTAATTTTTCCTGGCATACTGTAGCCGTAAAAATTTTGATTCCGAAAAAATGCTTCGGAAAAACTCCGGTCGGAATTTCAGTCCGAAAAAATCTTTCGGGAATATTCCGACCGGAATTTCATTCCGGAAATGGCCGGAACTCGGTTCCGAACCTCCCTGACAAGAGCGCTAAACCCTAACCTTCTAACTTTGAGCTCATATATCTCATTTCCTGGAAGAGGTCTCAAAAAGTGGTCAACTGACAAAATGTTTCTCATAATATTCTAAACATTTTGTTAGTCGACTGATTTCTGATATCTTTCACAAAACGAGATATATGGGCTCAAAGTTGCTGGTCCGGTTTGAGCTCTATCTTCCGCTCAAGATCTTTAGAATTTGGAACTCCTTCTTCTAGGCTGGAGATGTCATAGAAACCTCCAAATCGATAACATGCAAGGAGACCGTCTCTCCTATTTTCCTCTTCTTCTTCAAAAAAACCAGATGACTAGTTGTGTTCAATTCCAGTATATATCTTTCACTTCTGCCCCCCCCCCCCCCCCCCCCCGAGAGATTCATTTCACCGTGAGAGACGCAGACATTCAGAGGAGAAAACCTCTCATTCTCACCAATTGATCGAGAAAAACCCTCTTTTTTTCTCTATTAAAACCCTCCTTGAGTACGTACTTTGGTTCTCAGGAAAAAAGTCATAGGACAACATGTGTTCCTCTCTGCTGAAATTGACTCCGCCCACTTTTCCTCTATTTTTTGCTAGCCGTGACTAGAGCCTAATTCCTAATTTTGTTTTTCTTTGGCATTGTTCATCACAATAGGCGGAGCCTAATTGTCTAAAATCGCCGAAGCCAAAAAAGTGGGCAGAGCTTCAAAATAATATATTTTTTGTGCAATTTTTGGCGCATTTCCCTTATCAATATGATATTTTTTGTACTTTCTATGCTTTGTCCACTACTCTTCTTATCAAATTCCCTTTCTGACAATTCAACAACCATCTCCAACCCATTTTCAGAAACACTAAACAAAATTTATTGATTCCATATGCACCGCTCGGTTGGCTTCATTCGCCTTTTGGCCACAAATTCAAAACCGGGAACGCCGCGTTCGGCTGCTGATCAGCTAGCCGCGTTCTATCATCCAAATAGGTGAGTTTTTTTTTCTGATCGAACAAAGAAAGAAGGGAAGAAAAAAGTCGGATTTTGACCGGAAAAATGTCGAAAATCTTCCTGAAATTATTATTCTTGTGCAAAAAAATTGGAGTTGTGGCCGAATTTTCACACAAGTTAGGCCACCGTATTTCAAGGAGAATTTTCGAAAACACAGCCGGTAAACGAGTGCTACCGTAACCCAACAATAAATATTATCGCAAA